CCGGCGTTTACCTATGTAACAAACTCCTCCAACTTAATGATATACATGCCAAGCATGATTGCAAAAAAATAAATTGGATGGTTTCAACGGTTAACAGTGAATATGCATTCAAGCACTATAATTCCATACTAATTTTTTTAAATGCGATTTGAGATATATGCACATAGTTGCATAATCCCTCCGTTCCAAATTATAAGATGTTTTTTAACATTTTTAAATACATAGCTTTTGCTATGTACTTAGATATACACTATATCTAGATATATAGTAAAAACAATATATTTAGAAAAATCAAATAAAACGTCTTCCAATTTGGAACTGAGGAAATATATAATTAGATAGACATAAGGGTATCGGAAGTGTATAACTCTATAAGGTTGACCTTAGCTTTTAGATGGGACCCATGCATACATAAAAAAACCTTCTCCTCCTCTTCTCCCATATCCACCTATACCGTTTCTTGTCCCAACTCCCGTCTCCATTAGTATCCCCGAGAGAGTTTGACATTTGGGCATTACAATTTGCGAGTCTTTCAAGATTTTACACACATATCACAATGACATGTGAGGTCAACATGACTCGTTGACATGTGAGTCAGGATGTCAAATCTTAAAAGGCTCATGAATTCGATGTTAGTTTTAGAAATTCCACCGCGCGCTGCCATCCGTGCCCTCTGTCGTCGCCCTTTCTCTTCCTTGCCGACGCTCCTCTTCTTCCCCACTACCGTCCCAATCCTCCTCGTAGCCGCTACCCTCGCCCGTTGCCACCCCTGCCCTCTTCACCGGGCTTGCGCTCCCTTCCCCACCCTATCTCGCCATGCCCACCACGTGGGGCTCGCTGGCCACCACATAGACCTCGCCAGCCGGAGCTCGATATTGCCCCTTCTCCGGTTCTCCTCATCACCACACATTGGATCTCTAAGTTGCCGAGGTGGCATTGTCAATCTATGGCCTCATGGGCCCATGTCGGCATTAGTGCTCGACCTCCTCCCCTCCAACCTCATCTCTCATCATCGACAATATTTTTTTTACTCGTTGTGCCCGGGTCCTAAGCTTAGAGTTGGATCTTATGATTTTTTGGCTAAGGTTGAGCTCTAGTATGTATGAGTCCGACTCTAAGTTTGCCACATAGGACTTAGGGTCGGTGAAACTTGCACAATCTGGATAAAGGGCAGACCCAGTGCCGGAGGCTCCCACAGTGGGGTCTGGGGAAGGGAAAAACCGAGGCAAGCCTTCCTCCCGCAAAATTTGGACAATCTGGATGCCATGCAAAATATAATAACACAGTTATTAGACATATAGTTGTCACATTGTTAAATGATCAGCTATCATAATATATACAATATAACAACATAAATATCAAATTGTCTTACCAAGTCGGTTCTTTTCCCCGAGACTGTCATTTAGACGCCTCAACCAGCGTTTAAAAGCTTTTAAATCACATTTAAACACTCTGTTTAAACTATTTTCTAACCGCTTTGACCGTTTAGAGCGTAGATTACACATATATCCCCGGTTTTACGTTTACACGTGGGTAGACAATGGTTTAGACAAGTTTAGATGAACTCTTGGTATGCGGGACCCACCAATAGGTCTCATCGGTCACTCCAAGCTGATTTTCCTATAACAACCATGATCAGCCAAAATTGGGTGCTAACAATTTCCATGAAAAAATGATTTCTTGTAAAATGCTAACGATTAAATGTTTACTGTTAGATACACCACCACCCCAAACTACTGGATTCATCTATAGTCGATCAGTCTTACGATTGATCTAGCACATCAGCCCTTTGTTCCATATAAGCAGATGAGTATCTCCACTAGAACAATAGTTTAACTTTTGTATCAATAATACAGTAAAAATATCAATACATTTACTCCGTACGTAAGAGGCACCAAGAGGATCTGACAGGCTGACATTCTCCACCCGCGGGCGTCGTTGTCCAATGCGATTTTTTAAACACTTTTTTTAAAACTATTTTTAAATCTAACACTGTTTTTTTTTCTTCAAAACTAATACTTTTGGCCGCGCCTATTTACACGGTAGGAGCGGTGACGTGGCAACGACCAGGCCCGCTGAACGCTGACGTGGCCGGGACTACCGCGCTGCGGATCTGGGCGCAGCACTGACGCGCCACGGAGCATGGCGCGGCAAGACTCGGGCGGATGGGTTCACCGAATTGGCAGGCCCATCACCAGGCTAGGGGCCGGCCGGGCAGACCTCTGCAGCGGAGCGTGCAGCTAGAGACTAGAGTAGACTGCCAGAGCTAATCTAGTCTTACGGACGGGTGAAGAAATTATTGTACGCGCTCCTTATAGTTGATGGTTGGTGCACTACTGCTGTGCATGTGAGGCCGCCTGACGCTGCATGGTTTGGTTTCATGGATCAGATCAATCGTTTACCGGTGACTTCATCAGCTATCTTAAATTTAAATTTGATTAACTTTATAGAAAATAGTATTAATATTCATCACTCCAATCAAATAGATACATTATGAAAATATATTTGATAACAAACCTAATAGGTATTCAGTGTGATAAATATTAGTATTTTTTATATAAATTTATATAGTTAACCTTTAGATCGTTTAACTTAGCGTTGTTCTAAAACAAGTAAAGTTCATAGCGGCCTCTCAAACTTGTTCATCTATGTCATCACAGTCTCTAAACTTGTAAGCTTGTTCGACTGTGTCGTCCCGATCCCTAAACTCAAAAATTACATATTTAGATTCTTACACTCGTTTGGCCATATCATCTTGAGTCATAGACTCGCTAACTGTCTATTTAGGCAGTCAATCTATGTTTGATCTAAAGGGTGATTTGCAAATTAAGATGACACAATTGAACAAGTTTGAGAATCTAAGCAGGCAATTTGCATGTTTAGAGACTAGAATGATATAGTCAAACAAGTTTAAAAAGATAATTTAAATGGATGATTTACAAATTTAGAGACTAGAATGACATAGCCGAACAACTTTTAAAGAACATAATAAACTTTACTCCCTCTGTCAAAAAATAGAAGTCGTTCTCGCTTCCCGAGAAGTCACTTTTTTCAACTTTGACCAATTATATATAAAAGAATATTAATATTTATAATATATAATTAGTATATTAGATAGATCTTTTAATATACTTTTATAATAAACTTATTTGAAGATATAAATGTTGCAAGTATTTTCTACAAAGCTATTCAAAGTTAATAAAAATTTAACCACCACATATCACATAACAACTTCTATTGTGGTACCGATGGAGTACTCTTCTAATAAAACTATATCCTTTCTGCGACGATGGAGTGTGTACTGTGCAATGAGCTGCTAGTGCTTGGTAGCTAGCTAACCCCCTTGTTCTTGTTCATTTTAGTAGCGATGGTGTCTCTCTCTGGTAAGTACCAAGAGCAAAGTGCTACTCTGGTACTGGTACCATACGTTGCATGTGCGGCGCAAGGTCTTGTGCAAAAGTACCACTGTGTGCGTAGGTTTTTGTGCAAGTGTAGCCACAGTCCACAGACCGAATAGAGTGCGTCTAGCTATGCCACCATCCGCATCATCCTGATACCAGGAAAATCTAATTAAGACGTTTGCTAACAGCAACAGCTAACAAATTCGATCGATTGGCCTCATACTGTTGACGCAGCAGTACATTCTTCCACGACTCATAGCTGAACTAAGGTGTGTTTAGTTCCACGGACTAAATTTTAGTCCCTGTCATATCGGACATTCGGATGCTAATTAGGAGGACTAAACATGAGTTAATTATAAAACTAATTACACAGATGGAGACTAATTTACGAGATGAATCTATTAAGCCTAATTAATCCATCATTAACACATATTTACTGTAGCACCGCATTGTCAAATCATGAGCTAATTAGGCTTAAAAAATTCGTCTCGCAAATTAGTCGTAGTCTATGCAATTAGTTATTTTTTTAGTCTATATTTAATACTCCAAATTAGTGTCAAACATTCGATTTAATAGGAACTAAAATTTAATCCGCGGAACAAACACCCCCTAAACACTCTCAAACTAAACTATGATTTCGTCCATTCAAACATTGTTTAAATGCTACTCTTCTAATAAAACTATATCCTTTTTGCGACGACAGAGTGTGTACTGTGCAATGAGCTGCTAGTGCTTGGTAGCTAGCTAACCCTTGTTCTTGTTCATTTTAGTAGCGATGGTGTATCTCTCTGGCAAGTACCAAGAGCAAAGTGCTACTCTCAAACTAAACTATCATTTCGTCCATTCAAACATTGTTTAGTCCATTCAAACATTGTTTAAATGCTACTCGGTCATCGTGGAGCTAGTGCATGTCTGCAGTCTACTCCAGTCTAATCGGTCATCGAGGAGCCTGGTAGTTTACTCGGTCATCGAGGAGCCTGGCAGTCTACTCGGTCATCGAGGAGCCTGGTAGTTTACTCGGTCATCGAGGAGCCTGGCAGTCTACTCTGTCATCGAGGAGCCCTGGAAGTCTACTCTAGTGTCTAGCTGTCCTGCACGCTCCGCCGCAGAGGTCTGCCCGGCCGGCCCCTAGCCTGGCGATGGACCTGCTAATTCGGTGAACCCGCCCGCCTGGGTCTCGCCGCGCCATGCTCCATGGCACATCAGTGCCGCGCCAAGATCCGCGGCGCGGTAGCCTCGGTCACGTCAGCGTTCAGCGGCCCTGGTCGCTGCCACGTCACTGCTCCTACCGTGCTCCCATGCGTTCGCCGCGCCATGCAAATAGACGCGGTCAAAAGTGTTAGTTTAAAAAAAATAGTGTTAGATTTAAAAATAGTTTAAAAAGTATTAAAAATAATAAAAAAATTCTCCAATGCCGACTGCCGAGGCCAAGCCTGCAGGCTCCGTGGTCCGTGCTGCTCTGCTCAAGCAGCAAAAGCACAGATGCTAGGTACGGATCGATGTCCCAGGCTCGGTGCCGCTTTGCCTTTTCGATCTTCTTTTTTCTTTTTGGCCTACTCTATAGTTGTCGGGCCACCATTTCTCTGGGCAACACGAACAATGGCGACGACACCGGCAGGCGTCCGTGGCGGCGGCGAGGTTTCTGTCCCAATTCCTGGTGCGTCCGCGGGAGCTGCAGCAGGTGGCGAGCTGCAGCAGCGTGAGCGGTCGCTGAACCGCTTCGTGCGAGCTGTTGCCTTCTGGGAATGGGCGGGAAACGCGTTCGGCGCGCTGGCCTTCCTCTGGGCGACCGTCGTCTTGCTTGGCGGCTTCTGCTCTGATCTGGAGCCACTGGATTTCTGGTCTGCCATGGTGATTATCTTCATAGAAGCCTTCAGGTACGTACATGTCGCTGTCTACTCATCATCAGTTCCATTCTTCGTAGAAACCGTTGCTATGCAATTTTTTTAATGCGGGCCCCACCAATCAGCCACCCGCAAGTCGCGGCATTTGCGCTTCGTGGCCGGCGGGATTCGAACCCACGACCTCACCTCGCACGATTCTCCACTAATCACTATATCTCACACTTAAATGTGCGTATAATGGATTTTCTTTCTCTATATATTATCCTTAACCGAGCTTAAATTGAGTGTTTGAGACCCTAAATGAATTTAAATTAAAAAGTTATCAACTACAAAGTTGTATAACTTTTCAAGATCTACGACTTTCGTTTTTGTTGTTTCTTCATCCGAGATCGTTTGAAAAATTCAAATTTTAAATTTAAGAAATTCAAACGTAGTTTTTGTTGGCAAGATGATTTGAAATCAAAAAGTTGTCAACTACAAAGTTGTATAATTTTTTGGGATCTACAACTTTCATTTTGGTTGTTTTGCCATCCAAGATTGTTTGAAAAATTCAAAATTCAAATTTGAGAAATTCAAACGTAGTTTTCCTTGACAAAGTGATTTTAAATCAAAAAATTGTCAACTATAAAGTTGTATAAGGTTTCGACATCTACAACTTTTATTTTGATCGTGTTTTCATGTGACTTTGTTTGAACAATTCAAAAGTTGAATTTCAAAAAATGACTACTTCAAACAATATTTTGAAAGAGTAAATGATTTCAGCTGATAAAGTCATAAACATAAAAGTTGTAGCACTCATCAAGATCTACAACTTTTATTTTGGTCATTTATTCATCCAACAAAGTAGTAGTATACATTGTTCATAAATTTACATCTCTCGTATAGTTGAGAGAGATGTAAATTTGTGAACAATATTTATCATCACTTGCTTTGATGAAAAATGACCAAAATAAAAGTTATAGATTTTGTTAAGTTCTACAACTTTTATGTTCATGACTTTTTCATTTGAAACCATTTACTCTTTCAAAATGTTGTTTCAAGTTGCTATTTTTTGAAATTTTGAACTTTGAATTGATAAAACAAAGTCACATGAAAAGATGACCAAAATAATAGCTGTAGCAACACAATAAATTGATAGAGCATGATTTTAGAAAATTTTAGGAAAAAACATTAAATTTGAAGTTAGTATGAGGGAGAAAGACTAGCTATAAGTTTCAGCTAGAGATTAAAAAGATAAATCAGAGTTATTCAACAATTTAAAAATTAAATTTCTAACCCATTTTGAAATAGTAAATGATTTCAAATGAAAAAGTTCTAAACAACAAAGTTCTATAACTTTTCGAGATATATAACTTTTATTTTGATCATTTCTCCATCTAAAGTCATTTGAAAAAATTCAAAAATTAGTACTTAATTTTTACTATTCGGGGTCTATTTGTAGGAGCGGCTCGTTTGGGAAGCATAAAAAAAGGAGGCGTTACTACAAATTCTTTTTGTAGTAGTGCTTGATGCCTGCAACGTACCCATTGAGTCACCATTTAATTAATGAATAAAGAGAGAAAAAGGAGGAAAAGTAAACCCTTCTCGGGCTTCTTTGATAATGATTGTGAGGGGTTTTCGGCCCTCCGGGGCTTCACGGATCATGTGACCTCTTTAGCAAAGGACCTCTAAGGAGTTAGTACCATTTTTGGTGGCTTCATGGATCAAACAATAAGAATAGGATCAGGGCCCCTTTAGCGAGGGCCCCTTGGTCTTCCCTTTCAAGACTTTGTTCTCTTGTCAACCTTCAAGCCATAGTGACACGGCCCTTCACTCTATCAAGGCCATGAAGAAATAATCTCTAACCATGGCCAACAACACAAGGGATGTAAATTAGGATCCATCCACGTCTAACCATGAGGGTTTCTCACCCTCTCCCCCTCAAACTTTCATCGTACTCCTCTCCGCCGACTTGTCAACAAGCTCAACTCTTGCTTATGTCTCATGGTTGCTTACTTCCTAAGCCAGGCCTCACCTCCCCATGCTCGGATGGACGTGAAGCTATGGTCGTTTGTACTGTTGTCAATTTTTGACGAATATGGGATACTAGGAATGGTGAAGTATTTAGAAATGAACACTCTTCTAGTCGTTATATTATATCCAAAGTCTATGATGATCTTGTTGTTTGGCGCAAACGCCTGAACCATGATCATGATGTACACAACTTGAAAAATTGGCGTCGCTACCTCCTGTCTTGCAACTCTCCTGAAAGCTTCAGTTAACTGGAGCATTGGTTCGGAATGAAGTTTGGTGGGGAAGCTCTCCCCCGTTTGAATTAAAAAAAAACCTCCCTAGGCGGAATGGCTAGCCAATTGGTCATATAGTGAGCAATAAGGTTGTTGTGCCGCCTGTAGCAATTGTGTCTAGCAATTGTGTTTGTGGATGCAGCGATCCACCGTCTCCTATAGCAAAGCTAGAAGTGGCTCTACTAGGGGTCCTGACGGGTAGTGGCGACTACCAAGACATTCTCCAAGGCTATCGCCGCTTTTTGAACTACTGGTCGAGGTCATCTAGTGGACCCAAACACCAAGCCATAGAATGATTGCTTTTGAGCATTGACGATTTGCACTCACACTTAGAGGGCATGGTAGAGGTATAATCCCCAACATATATCTAGTGCATGAGACGTCGGGCAGGAAAGAGGTTCTTCACCTAGGGGAAACGAGGTGGTGGTCTGTGACGCCTCCATACCCATTGTCGGCCTTGAGATTCAATCAGTGTCAATTCTCAGCGGGCCATTTATCTTTTCCACATATCCCACACCTGATGACTAATGCCCTTTATTATCTAGCAATATTCAACTAGGCATCTAGATCTAGGGCGTCTCCAATGACCTTGATGGCCTCTTTGTGGCATTGCATGAGCATGCATCCCAAGATCTTATGTATACTATGAAATTATGTTCATGACGAATATAATGATGCTATTGGTATCATAAACAATGATACTCTTGGTCAAATTCAAGATGGCTTGACTTGTTAGTGTGCTAAAATTGTATTCTTCTCGCGACGAAGGGAGTAGTATGAATGATACTAATTGTGGTTTTGGCATATTTGATGAGTATTTGTACCCTGGGTACCATCACCGACCATGAAGTTTGGTCAAAGTCGCCGTTAGGTCCTCATGAAGGAAGCCCCAGTCGAAGAGTTACTTGTGCGCTGCGCTCAACAAGGCAGGCACCCACGATCAACCATCCAACCTCTTAGACCGCCAAACAACCAAACCAAGGGCCAAGTAGTGGCCCGACCCTCCGACCTCAGAGTAGGGACTGGCTTGGCTCTAAGTTTGCACCGCACAGGCCTCATGAGGGCTCGACTAGAGTGGACACCAGACCGGATAGATACAAGTTTGTTTTCCCACAAGCTGAGGTCACGGAATGGATAGTGTCTATGACGAGATAGCCATGCCCCCAAGTACCACATACATACTTGAATCATGCAGCATAGGAGCACGTCATGCTTGGCTCTGTGGCAACCTAGTACACAATAGGAAGACAGGATGGGCCACACCAACCGTTGTGGCACATGACCTGTTCAACCAACTTCGATAGGTGCACGGCCGCCGCCCGCCTGCAGACGCCTGCTCCCATGTCCTCCTTCACAACTGCCCAATAATGAAAGCGGAATGCGATGGTGCCAACTTGAGGGGCCCTTATGAAGACTAGCTGACTTGTAGGACCCCCTCTCTTGTAAACCAGCCCCCTCGGCTATATACGGGGCAACAAGGGCTACATTTCTTCTTCTTCGGCACTTAGCCTCCTTCGAAGCCTTCATAACCCACATAACCTTCAAAATTTCCAAACTCTCTCGCTCTTGTTTGTAACACCTACTACAGACTCGAGCGCTTGGACTCAGGAACGCAATCCATCTTACCCGATTGGAAGTAGGCCACCTTCCCTAACTAGTACAAAACTTGAGTCCCTGATAGTGCTAAGCCATCAGAACCAAACGAGTGACCACAGATTTACTAGTTGGTGGCTGGCCCAGATAGTCACATCCCTACCTCGCTTCCATACTGCCACCTCAGAAACCGGTTCGGATGAGATTTAACAACCAGCACACAGATGAGGAGTTTGTACATACAAAAGAGGTTTTTTCATGTGTGTCTGTTTGTTTGTGACTTTGTCTGAACTTTCGCTTTGCACTTGTCAGGATTTTTAGCCGCAACTACAAGTCGGACAACCAGTGGTTGTTCGGGACGACAAGGGCACTAAGATGGACTAACGTGTCTTCCATTCGCATGTTAAGGCGGCCACAAGAAGGGAATGAAGTTGTGCTGATCATGGGTTTGTGGATCGACCTCGTTATCTGGTTACCTGTTGTTGGACCTATGTTCGATGGTATTCTACAGGTGGCGTTGCTAATCGTTATGAGCAAGATGCAGCTCCGAGGTGCTTCTCAGCAGACTAGTCGGTCCCAGCGGTGCCGACGACTATTGCTGCTGTGGGCTGTTCTGATTGCTTATATAATTGTGTATGCTCTCAAGTTAAGTCGGGCTATGGATGATCTCGAAGTTCCCATGCTTATTATGCCATTCAGAGCAAGGACAGATTACGAGAAGTATTCTACGCCCGAATTTGAGCTTGCCTCCGCGTCAACAGAGCTACTAACAATGGTGGTGGCAGCGTTGCTTCTTATTTCAAGGCCCCGAATAATTGCCCACCTAACAAGTATTTCTTTGGGACGCAGTCTACTATCTTTGGCCAAACTGGTTTCAGCCATCAGCCTGGTTTTTGGTTCGATGCTGCTTGTGTGGCCGAAAGCATTTGAAGTTGGCGATCATCAAGTAGTAGACCCCAATAGTTTCATCATATCATTGGCAACAATGGTACTATCACTTGGCAGCCTACAGACTCCGACAACTGAAAATTGTAGTCTGGTTATTGGCCGCTGGATCGACGTGACCCTACACATGTTGTTCCTTTGGTATTTGACTGTAGGTATGTCTATGCTGCTTGATAATGTTTGGGGTGTACAACTGTCTCTCGCTGCATCCATTGTATCTGTGGTAGCTGTGCTACTGATTGAGAATTTGCAGATCCCGGCCGCTGTCCTTCAGGTCATGCTCTCGTCTTCGCGGATTCACAACCTGCAGTATGATTATCCCCAGCCAGCATCAAACTTGGTGCCAGCGATCGAAGTCTTCTATGTGCTGGCAATATGCCAAGGTTGTTTCTACATCACAGCAAGCATCCTCGGGCTCTTCTCCTTCTTCCCACGAAGAATGCTTGTCCGTCAGTCAAAACTCAGAGGTCAGCGGGGAGCCAAAGCCATCGATCTATACTACGAGTCTGCCTACTCCGCATGCATGGAAACTGGCTTGTTTGCTGCAAGAAAAACGGTGAGCCTTGCTAGCTTCGCCGAAGAGTCCCTAAGCTCCAGTTCAATCGAAACACAGCTAGCTGGTGTTCTCCTTCTTGGCAACCTCCTGCATGAAAGCTGGGGAACCGATTCCATTGAAGAGATGAGGTAAAAAATCATCAGATCCAATAAAACACTTTCCACGTTGATTGCCATGCTCGGCTGGGCAGATGAAAGACACAGAGATATCCGGCTAACTGCCGCAAGGATTATCGCCAACCTCGCTGACAACGTTACAGTTGCTGATATTCCGGGCGCGTTGAAGGTGGTGTGTTCGCTCCTTGATGATGAAGAAACTTCAGGGCAAACAACTTCTGGTAATGGAGGAAATGCAGCAGGTAGCCAACCTACAGACGATGAAGAACTAGGGCATGCACAAGACAGTAATGGAGGGTGCATTTGGGTATGTCAGTCTTGGCAGAGGATGAAAGACAAGTGGTTCATTGTGGAGAAGCTGCCCTTGGCTGATCAGGAGTCACTCCCCATACTGGGCATGGAAATTCTGGAGAAGCTAGCTCATGATATCAACAATTGTGCAGAAATTGCCAATGCGTCATACCTCATTTCCAAAATTATAGGGCTCATAAGTTACAGAGATGACAACGAAAGTAGCAACAATGAGCAGCAGTGTTCGGTGATATGTGCATCGCTGAATTTTGTCAGCAGGCTTGCAAGCACCGGAGAGAACATTGGGGTAACACTTCGGCAAGAGCTGTGCAAAAACTTCTTTTTACTGAACAACCTCGAATGTGTGTTAGAGGACAGCCGCAGCAGCCCTGAGCTGATGAAACTGATGATTGATATCTTAACCAAGCTTGCCTTGGATGAGGACGCAAGGAAAGAGATTGGGTGCTGCAAGATGATTGTTTGGAAACTCATGCATGTATTTATTGGGAAGGATGGATCAACCAATGCTTACAATGATCAGTCCCTGCGAATGGCTGCAGGGGAAGCACTTGCAAACCTTACAACAGAGAGCCCTGCAAATTGCTTGGTTATCTTGGAAGTAACAGGATATGAAATTATCAAGGATCTCAAGAACATGTTGTGTGAAGATGAGTACATATATGTTCCCGCAAGTCTACTGCAGAATATTTGTGCGCATGCCAAAGATAAACTGCTCCATCAAGATGTAAGCAACCACCTGTCATCTGCCTTCCCAATGGTGAGTCTCTCTATCGCTACTAAGAGAAATTGTTAACAATTTCGGCGTGTTCATTATTGTTATTATCAATGAAGTTTCTTGCTTAAAATTTGAAGTATATGGGTATAGAAGAACTTCTTATCACTGGAATTTAGTGGGTTAGAAAAAACTTAACGTGAATTGTGGTGGTTTGTCATATATTTGGTTTCGTATTGTTTGGCCATTTAATTAATTAATTTTGAAACATATGTCATTACCTGAAATTTTTATCACACCACCATTCATGCAGGTGATGGAAAATATAATGTCTGCGGAGGGAAAACACCTGGAGGTCCTGATCGGCCTCGTATCACAAATCTGTGACATGATCCCAGAATCATTTATCCATGATCAGATACAGTTACGAACCAACCGATCAGAGCTTGTTCAGAAGCTGGTTGGCACACTCAATTCCAACAGAAAACCAAATCCTGAATACCCGAGAATGAGAAGGGTCATAGTTGAGATGGTGATATCTATTGTGAAATTTTGTCCTCGCTATGCAACTATATTGAGAGAAGGGGGGATGATGGAAGCACTGTCCAAGGTAGAAATGACCCCATCAAAAGTGGAGAAGCACAGGGTCTTCTTTGGCAACATAGGCGTTATTTTGGAGAGTGGCCCATCTCTGACTGCTTTGGTGGCCACGGCAAAAGGATTAATTCATTCTGCAGCTCCAACTATTGCACTTAACCAGACGACCATGCTTGATTAATCATCATGGTTGAATATTCATCGTGTTGCTAATATGCATGCATATTGTGGCTATTTGGTAATATGTGTGTGTGTGTGTGTTGTGTCTAGAGAGACCATGGATTTCTTACTATATTATCTCGTACTCCTGAACTCTTTTGTGGCTTTGTATTATCCGTAATATTACTTCACTTTTGAATACCATAAACTGATGCATAATAAATCCCAGAGGACAACCGACCTTTTTTGTGGTGATGAAGCGTGAGGATGTTATATTGAAGGTGAAGGGTCGAGACTAGAGGTTCTCTACCATGGGACAAGACTACTTGAGGAAGGTGCAGCTCAAGTAGTCTAGTTTATCAAGCAAACCGTGAATGAAGGGCGAGCATGCGAGGAATCAAGGTTGTTCGTTTCTATAACGCCAACATATAGATAGTTTTTTTTGGTGATTTCATTTCTATTAATTTGAAGAGTGCATACAGACTTTTTGCTTCTTATCTTGTGATTAGCAAAAGTTTTGTTCTACATTTTTATGTTGGGATAAAAGGGCAGAAAAATACACAATTAATTTCTAATCTTGTGATGAATCATGAGGAAAACATCTACCATTAGATATGCAGCAGAATTTAAAATCATACACACATTAGACACAATGATATATGTGGAAAACCTCCTCAAGGTGAGGAGTAAAAACCATAGGAACAACCGGTCCACTGCAAGCTTCTACTATAATCAACAAAGAATACAAGAGTCGTCTCTAGAGCATCTAGATGATTACACCACCAACAACACATCTCTGAAGTTACAAACTTAACATTAACTACACTTGTAACAAGAGGAACGATAGCAACTAAATAAAGAAGTCACATATTCTATCCCCGTCGGTAATCAGTTCACATCACACAAATTAAAGCTCCACTGTGCACAAATTTTAGTTGACATGTAGCTCCACAAGTCCCCTAACTACTGACCAAATTTCACCTCAATCGGATACCGTGTCACCATCCAAAACAATTATCTAACAAAACTGCTCTGTCCTGAAAATGCAGTGACCCGAACTGATAAAACCCCTCACAAATCTGGTGCTCTACTGAACTAATCCTCAAGCCAACTTGACAGATCAAAGTGCTCTAAGTGAGAAACTAGTGCATCGAGCTTGGTACCAATCCAACCACGTTTGAGCCTCTAATCACCGGCTTGAAGATGACCGATTCAGAACCATCAAATCTGGTCCGATTTTCCTTTCTCCTTCATTCTTGTTGGGGGAGGGGGGGGGGGCGTTGTTCTGGTTTCACCTCCCTCTCACAGCAGCAACAGCTAAAGCAATTGATGCTAGGGTTTGTGATTTTTATTCCATCCAAGTATCGATCTCCACCGTTGATTGCACAAAAATCAATGACTCACAAGAACTGTACATGTGAGCTATATTTGGGCTGCTTCACCTGGTTTATTAGTTAGTTGAGACACAAACACATGGTGAGTGTTAGACATGACTTTTTTTTAGTTCAATCAAGTGATTTACACATCACTATGGGACCATATTTTTGGAAAGCACGTGGAGCTCATGAAGTCATGAGCCCATCCGTCGACCACACAACACAGCCTGTATGAGCCAATTTTTTTGTTCAAGATCAAATTCATTTGTTTTTTTTCTGTTTTATTGTTTCTCAACGTTTCTTATACATAAAATTTTAAAAGTATTTTCAGGGATAGGAGGCGTCCGTCCATTCGGACGCTAACAAAATCTCTCTACTGTGCTCCACCTCCACCGCGTCGCGCGCCTTCCATACTCCGCCTCCACCACGCTGCCCATCTGCACAACAGCATCCGCCCGCGCTGCGCCGCTCCGCCGCTCCACCGAGCCGGTGAGCCTCCACGATGGATGCTCCAGCAAGCAGACGAGCGGAGGAGCTTCATGTGATGCCGCCCCGCCGGCGAGTTGCCCGTGCCGCTGCCACACCAGTGAGCTCCATGCGCCGCCGTCGAGTTCCGCCACAACGAGCCTCCATTCGTACGAGCAACAAGGTGACATTGTGCTAAAAGCGCATGTTGCAAGCGTATGTTTTAAGTGTTTCAGATGTTTCAGAGGTATGTTGCAAGTATTTTATATCGATGTTGCAAAACTAGATCAGGATGTTGCACATGTTGCAATGGCTACACACATATATTTTATGTGTATGTTCCAAATGTTTCATCTGTTTCAGATGCATGTTACAAGTATTCATTTGGATGTTGTAAAAGTAGATGTGGATCTTGCATATATATGCAAGTGCTTTAGATGTTTTCATATTATGATGCAAGTGTTTCATCTGGATGTTGCATATGTTTGCAATGGTTACACACGTGTTTTCAAGTTTTGTCTGATGTTTTGCAAGTCTTTCATACGTATGTCGCAAGTGTTTTATCTGAATATTGCAAAAGTAGATCGAGTGTTGCACATGTTGCAATTGGACCAACCTACCGCAGCCGTCTGCTACAGCTGCTGGGGCGCCGTCGAGCGGATGCAGACGCCCGGACGGGTGAAGCGGAGGGGGCACGAGCGTTCCCCACGTGGACGCGTGAAACGAGGTGCAGGCATGGGTGTTTGTCCGGACGTCCGGGCAGGGGCGGAGCTACAGGGTGGATAGGGTGGACCACAGACCACCCCGTAGATTTGGTCCAAAGTGTAGTACCCCTCAGTATTCGGCCGTGGACTCTGCTGGGCTAGCCTATTGTGCTTCTGCTGCCGAATCCCCCGATCAAGCCTGAAAACGAAGTCCAAGCAACGTCCGTGTCTCAGACTCTCAGCGACCTGCACCTTGGTCTTCTAACTCCAACTGGCAACCGTCCAAACTCGTACTCGGCGTCTCAACTCTCGATGATCTATATTTGCAGCAGCAGAGCAGCCGCCGACCGCCCGGCCAGACGTCGGAGTCAGAGGCAAGGCTAGCAACGCACAACCTGTATGTTGATCTTGATATCCTTTCTTCTTTACTCGAGTTCTTTACGTTTCTCTCTCTCTCTCTATCAAGTGATTAAGCCCTAAATTGCTAAAGTGCTAACAGGAGATAATCATTTAATCATAGGTTTAAAAAAAATCATTTAATCAACAATCTACAGTTCAACTTCAATTCAATTCATGGCAAGTATTGCATCGGCTACAGCCTACAGTGCTACGGCAATTCACGGCAAGTTCTATTTCATCTCAATTTTAAAATTTTATTGTAGCACTGAAATAATTTAGATATTTAATTGAAACATTGGGCTTGTTTATTTCTCTTGCATATTTGTTGAAAATGAAGAGGAGTGGTGATACCGCCTCTCTTTTTCAAAAATATGAATCAAAGAAGAAGGATTCTTCTCCATCTCCTTCGCTGGCTACATATTGTTCTTCAACTATTATTTTTTTTGTGACTTGTTCTTCAACTATTATAGGTACGTAATATTTCAATTCTATGTTAAGAAAGTTACACTCATCTATTTTACGAACTCTCCTTTTTTATATTTGTGTTTTGTAATTCATATACTTGTGCACCGACATGTTAAATTTATAGCGGCTAAAAAAAATTTAGACAATGGACCACTATAGCTACTAATCCTAGCTACGCCACTGCGTCCAGTGCTAGCACTGCCGTTCATTTAAACAAGCAACAGCCAATTGAAATGCAGTTTTTAGGGAGGTTGCATCGGGGGCTGCTCTGCACCAGGCGCTCGGACCGTAGCAACACGCCAGCAAATTAATTTTCTTCGGGGATTGTCGCTTCGATTAACACGGTAGTGGGTTAAATGTATTATAATGGGCTACATGACATATACTTCTCCGTAAATCCGTAAAACTGATTAGAAACTATGCATGCAACCATGCAGTGGCGGATCCAGAAAAAATTTTAGGGAGGACTGAACAAAAATGCGACAGCAACATACCTCCGACTGCTGCTTGATCTTAAGTCTCAGCCCCACCTACATAATAGAAATTTGCCTAAAAATTCATGGGGACTCCAGAGGGCTCCACTGCTCCGATATCGGTACAGGGGGCTCGAGACCCCCCGCCCCACCGTTGAATCTGTCACTGCAGCCATGTAAGAATCCAAATTTACTTACAACACCACTCATGCAACAGTTTTTGAAAGTACAAAAATACTATATTTGCGAAACTGAGATTCTAAATTAAATTCCTTTTGCACCATTGTATTTTGTTATAATGAATTCTTCAAAACAAGATCCCACTTAGGTATATTTAGATAAAATTTTATTAATGAACATTTTTCATATAAAGATGAAACATTTTATTTTATTGAGCAGATGCAATGTTCTACGTTTAGAAAACAACGTTCCGTCTTCAGAAAAAAGATGTTCTCAGATAAGAAGAACAATATTCTAGGTCTAAGAGAACAAATTATAGATCCTTGCGATTTGTATTTTATAACATCTATCCTGAGAGTCCAAAAGGCACTGCCGTCTCGTCACATGTTCGTCGACTTCCATGAAGTTTGCTTGTGTCAATGTGGCGTTTGTCAGACTCATAATCGCCTTTTATCTGCTCCCTCCTACTCTATGTGAGACCCACTACGGGAAAACCGGCCTTTCCCGAGAGCCTAAATAGTTGCCGAGCGCAAAACAAAGGGCTCTCAGCAAAGAATTGATTTGCCGAGAGCACCTCTCGACAAAGTAAAACTCTGGGCAAAGGTTAACTTTGCCGAGAGCACGGCTCACGGCAAACAAAAATGCTCGGCAAACTTGTCCTTTGCCGAGAGCTGCGCTCTCAGCAAATAAGAACTCACGGCAAACATAACATTTGCCGAGAGCGACTCTCTCGGCAAAGAAGTCCATGACAATAGGCTTCCAGCGTTATTTAGGCTTACGACGTTAATTATTTGCCGAGAGCCGCTCAAAACAAAGTTATTTATTTGCCGAGAGCCATGTATGGCTCTCAAACAAAGGGTGCTTATTATTTCATGTGTTTCTCTTCTCCTCGCTTTTGTCCAAAAATATTATTATTTTATTATTTTGGGCGCTCTAAACTTTTTTCTCTATACACATACT